TGATCCTGCAGAGAGCCTCAGAATCCTTCTCTACATAGGACATGTAAGTGAATGGATTCAATACAGGAGGGCAAAACTACTCCTGTCTTAGACTATGGTGTGATCATGAGTTTTTGAGGAGAGATGATCAAACTGTATGCTCTTGAGTTGCCTCAGGGTCTCCCAATTGTAGCCCAATTTACAGCTCTGTCAGTTTTGTCTCAAATACTGGACATCACTTGAAGTACTAACAATAAAACTCAAATCTCAGAGTGTGAAAAGTAGAAGGGATTGAAGGCATCATTGAGTGTAGCTCCCTCATTTGGCAGCTGCAGGAAACTGAGGTCTGGGAGGGGGAAACTTGTTTATGCAAGTGGCAAACACAGGCATGACTTTGACCTTGTATCAGTGGCTTTCATCTTGGAAAGGGAAATGGACCTGACCTCCTGAGAACCCATGGTATGCCTCGCTTTGCTGGTAGGAGCTTCTCACACGGCATTACTTTTACTGCCCCACACCTAACAAGGGAATCATTATTCCCAATTGAAAAGCAGCTGATAGTCAAAGACAGTCCAAATCAAGTGTTAAAATATGGCAGAACCAGGATTTGAACCCTTTCCACCAGCCCTGGGATCAGGGCTTACGAGGAAGTGCTATGGTGAGGAGGACTTGGCTCTGCCCTGGGTACCCAGTGCTTACAATCTGCTTTAGGCCCTTGGTCCCATCTGGGGGGCAGGTCCAGCAGCTCCTTTGGAGGTACGTCCAAACATTTGTGAGGCTTTCCCTACATTGAGTTCCTGTTTTCATAAGACAAAGCTGCCTGCCATCATCCATGCTCCTTTTTTGACTTCCTGGGCTTTACTACATTAATTTAAGATCTGCAGCCAAAGTAAGTCTCTTTGGTTGCAGCAGTAGGCACTTAAATGTCAGAGCTTTGCTGAAAAACCACTTGGGTTTGAAGGAAGTCATTGTGTTCAGTAAGATCTGGCCACATTTTATGTTTATGGGCTTTATTGGGGCATCGAGCTGAGCCAGTTAAAACCATGTCTTTATAGTCAGTAAAAGCTTAGGATTCTCAAATTCACTCATTCAAATAATAGTTATTGGATATATACCAAGTGCCAGGGCTGATGTATACAGTGGTAAACCACAGATATAATCCTTGCTTTCATGGAGCTTATAGTCCAGTTTAAGGAGACATTTAAAGAACAGGTGAATAAATGAAAGTATAAATAAGTGTCATTAAGAGAAAGGAGGGGACACTAAAGATATTCAGAAGGAGTCTAATTTAGACTAGGTAGGTCAAAGGAAGTGACATTTGAGTGCAGTAACAAGTAGGCAAAATTATGCCAAGAAGATGGACCAGCAGGCACTAAGTCACAGAGACAGAAAGGAATGTGGTGTGGTCAAGAAATATATCGCTCAGTGCCCGCCCAGAAGTGACATGCTATCTGGTGTTCCCATGTCTGTAAGAGCCAGTACATGCCCCTCCTTAGTTTCTATGGCTTTTTGGTTGCTTCCACTCTCTTGTTTCTTGTGGCCTCTTTAGTCTTCATTTCTCAATCATCCCTTTTGTTCCTACTTCCCATCCCCATCTCTTACCACCAGAACTATGTTCTTCTATCCATGCCTCCACCCTCTGTCTGATGGTCCTGCTTCTCTGATATAATCCTTCTGGTCCATACCCTCTATATGGCTTGTGTCTTGGCATCTTGTTTCAGTTATGAATTGTGTATTTCCTAGACCAGCTCCCTTTTTTTGGGGGAGGGGGCAGGGGAAGGTTGTTGAACTCAGGATCTCAAGCTTGCTGGAGAAGTGCTCTACCACTTGAGTAACACACCCAGTCCTGTTTGCCTTAGTTTGTTTTTCAGATAGGGTATCATGCTTTTGCCCAGGGCTGACCTCAGACTGAAATAGTCCTACCTTTGCCTAGAAGTATCTGGGATTACTGATGTGTGCCACCATGCCTGGCCTAACCCAGCTGTCTTTCTCTTGCTTCTTCATTCCCTGCCCTTGATCAGTGGAGGCACTTGTCACCCAGAAATCCATGCGCACAAGACCTGCCTTCTTTCCTCCCTTCCTTCCTCCCTCCCTTCCTTATTCCCTTCCCTTCTTCTTTCCTAGCTTTGTTACTATAGTCTAGGCTGGCCTCAAACTCATAATCTTGCTGCTTCCACCCCTCAAGTGCTGGGATCACAGGTATGCATCACCACGCTGGGCTAGCACAGCCTTTTCTAGTTGACGTCAGTGTCACTGTAGGATCTAGAAATAGTGAGTACATGTGCAAGTCCACATCTTCTGCTTCAAAGACCAGATGCTTCCAATAACCCCAAGGCTACAGCCAACGCAAATGCTGCTGTCCTGTTTAAAAGCCCTCCCACTCTCTAAGGAGGGAGCCTTGAACCTTCTCCACTGGGAAGGCAGCCTGTCCTCTGCAGTCTGGTTGCTCCTCAAAAGTGGGCGTGCAGAAGCCAAATAGCAGCAACTGTAAAATTATAAAATAACAAATAGGCACAGCTGAGGGCTTCCAGTGTTTTCAGCACTACAGTAGGGTTTCCTGAGGCCACATCTCTGTTTAATACCCCATCCCCAGCATTTGAGTTCCTCAGAACCGAGATTAAGTAGCCCAAAGTTGCCACTCAGGCAGCACATGGCAGGATCAGAACTGGGTAAGATGCTCTGTCCCCAAAAGCCTGATGCTTTGGCTCCCTCAACTGCCATCTACATAGTACCCACACTGAGGCAGGTACAGGGTGAAACACCTGCTCATAGTGTCACCATCTTCCACTTGGTAAAGTGGATGCTAAGGTGGTGGTGGGGGGAGGGTAGAACCAGTTTCATTGCCCCCCTACCTCTCACTCCTGGAAACCCATGCTCTGTCCACAGGAGGATTTGATAATGGGCTTAGGGAACATTTTGAAAGAGTGGAGGAGATGATTAAACAAGCAGTTACAGTGGTGCTACATCAGGGAAAGATTAGGCAGGTAGCAGAGAGCACTACAAGCTAACCTAGTTGAAGGGGGGTCAGGGAAGTGACTGTGAACTGACATCTGTACAATGAGTCAGAGAAGTGGGGTAGGGGCTGGAAAATCATCTCACGAGCAGAAGTCTACTGATGAGAGAAAAACCAACAGAAAGAAGAATACTTCTTTTGCTGCAGCATTGAGTGAACTGAGGAACACAGCATAAGGCACAAACTGGGCTGGGCAGGCCTAGGGTCGGGGAAGGATGTGATCCAAGTCACACCATCAAAAGATCCTTCTAGCTGCAGCATGGAGAGGAAGTTGGAAGAAGACTGGAGGAGAGAGATCAGTTGTTTGGAGGTGGTTGTCAAGTCCAGGAGAGATGACTGTAGCTTGGATAAGGGAGGTGGCTGCCAGGAAGAGAAGACGGAAGTGAATTCAAGAGCTAGGCAGTGAGTTCGCCCTGCTCCTTTTTACTGTGTCTAACTGCATGATGGGAAGTGCTGCCACCACATTCTGTTTACAATGATGGCAGGCGCACCCACTTAAGGTGAAATGGTGAACAGATCTCCTAATAATAGAGCTTTGGTATGAATCATGTTCTGTGTAGTGTTGTTGAAATACATCAAGTAATAGCCTCCATTCCAGTTGCAGAAAGAATAATTACCCAGCTCTTTGTGTTGTCAATAACACGTTCACAGTATTCACAGGCTTTCTCTGACAACTGAAGCAAAGTGCACTGGAAGTCAGCACGGCTCCCAGCATGTATTGGTCCTGGAAAGGCAGGGGCACAACGTGGGACCTGCACGGCTCCCTCTCCTGATCCTCAGAGGCACCCCTGGATGTGCTAACTGCTCTCCAAGCACAGTCACCATGGGAAAGCATTGACTCTGCTTTGAGCTTTCTGGGGGTTCAGACAGATCCTTTTGTCAATACCAACCTTGTGGTCTTGGACAAGGAATGTTCTTTAGTTTGTTTCCTCACTTAGAATTGGAGATAATAACAACTAGCTCACAGGGTTAGGTTCCTCTGTACAGTTTATACAGCAATAGTTAAGCTTGACCAGGGGCTTGTAATGTGCCAGGCACTTTGTGTGTAATTGCTCTAATCCTTTCCACAATCTTATGAGGCGAGTACTATTATGAGTCACATGAGGATGAAGAAATAGAGGTACAAACTGACTTGCTCAAGGTCATAGAACTAGTATGAAACAGAGCCAGGATCTGAACCCAAGCCCTTTGTTCATAATCGTTATGTTTCCCTGGCTTCCCATATCCCCAGTCCTTTGTCTTGTTCCTAAATAATATATTAAGCACAAAATGAGCTTAGGTAAGTGATGAATCAGTAAATTGCCTTCCATAGCCTAGAGAGACCTGCTGGCATGACATAGATTGGAGGAAGGGAAGGCAGATAAAAGGAATTAAGTTAAACCCAAATCTTGCTGTCTTGGGCCCATTTATTATTGTTGGTGGGCATGTGTTATGCAAGTAAACATCGTCGCCAAATTGTCATACTGGCAATACTTGTCATGTGACCCCTACTGGCTACCAAAGGTCTTGATTGATTAACCTCAGAAGCAGACAAAAATGGAGTAGACAAAAGGTGTGTGTCTCTTTCTTGGTAGCGATCATGAATACATTCCAGGAATCCATTTGAAGATGGACGTCTGAGCTGGGAGTCCCTCCTGGTCCCTTAAAGCTCAGCATTACATAGGTACCATCATCAAAGGCTTCATTAACTTTACTTCCTAGGGCAAGGAGATCCTACATCTTTCTTTGCAAAATGTTTGGTCTTTTCTTTGGCCAGGAGGATAGAAAAGGCACATTCATTCTTTGCAAGTAAACCCATAGCAATGAAAACCAAACCTTGAGTTAATGACTCACTAGCCATGCTGCTGTAGGAGTAGAAATCAAACCCAATTCATTTCCTCAGAGACAGTGACTAGGGAGACAAGGTAAGAAGGATTTCTCCATGCTCATGTTGAGTGGTGGCCTGTGGTCTGGTTTCAAGGTGCAGAGTCTTGCCTGGATATTGACAAGTGGTCTTTTTCTTCTGCAGGTGTGGCAGTGTGGTGGGAGTGTGGAGGTCCTCCCCTGTTCAAGGATTGCCCACATTGAGCGCGCCCACAAGCCCTACACAGAGGACCTCACTGCCCATGTCCGCAGGAATGCCCTCAGGGTGGCTGAAGTCTGGATGGATGAGTTTAAAAGCCATGTCTACATGGCATGGAACATACCCCAAGAGGTAGGGAGCCTGGTGGAGCTGCATTTTTTTAGGATTTGGTGGGGAAAACAAAACAAAACATGAGACTCAATTCCTTTTCTCATGGCTTACCATCTCATTTACCATGCTGGAACACACGTCAACCCACAAACGTGTTACATGTAGAAAAGAGGCTGACTCTGAGGTTCTAAGCTATTTCTCGCCCTCACTCCATCAGCATGCTTGAAGAAGGACATGTTCTCTCTGAACCTTAATGAACCTCATTTTACATGAAAGTTGGACAGGGTGGCTCCAAGTTTCCTTCCTGCTCCTCAATCCTCAGCTTCTCTGGCAATATGTATTCCATGGTATAGGATAAATATACAAATATGCCAGTAATGACAACAATTCACAAAACGTACCTTAATCTCCATGTAGACTGGATTCAAGCTTCTTCACTGAAACTTTGACCAGAGCAATAAGGAATTTCCACACACCTGTAGGATTTCTTGAGCCTTGTGGATAGAGACGGAATACTCTCCATAGAAACCCTCAGGAGAAGGGAATTACACCGGACATTTTTCAGTATATGTTTCTGACCTTCATGAAAGGTCACTGCCTGCCACTGTCCTCTATCACCTCTAGTCACCTCCACAACAAGAAGTGCCAAAGGAAAAGCAATGTTTCTCTAGCAGTCTTGTTCAGCCTTACCATGTGTCATATGGAAATGACCTTGGAATACTGAGTTGGAGAACCCAACAGATTCTAGCCACAGGATTCCAACCTGCTTACCAGCTTGTTGGCCTGGGGTTCATTGCTTCTGTTGCATTCTATGTGACAGTACTGTTGCCTGCATGACCTCTCTCTTGTCTCTCAAACTTGTGGTGTCCCTTTGGGAGACAGTATCAGATCTCTTTCTGATACGGAAATGATTGATCTTTGCTTAAATTTTCCATAGAAGGCCCTGGTCGCTAGACTTGCTGCCAAACTAATGTTGAGAAAGCAGGCTGAGACTTGGATGGGTGCTTTAGGTAAACTTCCTTTGCTACCACCACCACCATGGAGAAGGGGACTGAGCTGGGTCACATAGTACTGAAATCAGTGGGATGATAGCAGTTGGAAGGAAAAACGAGAAACCAAGTCATCTCTGCATAGTGCAGCCAACCCTAATGAACCAGCCCCAGGGTTACATCTCTGACAGTAAGAATTTCTAGGGCAACCACTGCTCTTTCTGGAGTCATCTGTGGTTGTGGGCCGTGGATCACGTATTCTGCACAGGGTGCTAAGCCCTGCTGTGGGAGTCCCCTGATGGTGAGTGGTAAGAGCACTGGAAACTCCCCCAGGAGCCCACGGTGAACATTACAGGTCCTGGGCTCGACTGGAGCCTTGCCCACGCTCCTGTCCTCTTCTGTCTCCCAAAGCTGCAGACCTTCCAGTCCTCTATTGTTGTAGTTGACAGGTGTTGAAATGGACAGAAACCCAGTGAAGTGAACTACGTGAGCAAAAATAATTAAAAAATGATGAGACTCAGTGTTTGCCTGTCACCCTTCAGGGGTAGTTCAATTGAAATAAAGTAGATTGGGGGTGGGAGTGAACAGATGAGAGGGGAAAATGTCCAGGCTAAAGTCTCAGGTGAAGAAAAAAGGGGTCTGTGTGTTTCCTAAAAAGCTTTCTGTTAACTTCTGTGTCCAAACTCTCTCTTCTTCCTGTTGAGCTCCTGCAGAGTCAACACTTTGCACATTCTGTCCGCTTCTCCAGTCACATCCTGATACTCCATTGAAATTGCCTTTGTCAATGTCATCACGGGCCTCTCAACTGCTTAATTTAATGGACATGTAAAAGTCTTTAACTAGCCAAGCACTGGCTCACACCTGTAATCCCAGCTACTCTGAAGGTGGAAATGGTGAGGATCGCAGTTCAAGACCAGCCCAAATAAAAAATTAGTACAACCAGATCTCAACGAATAGCTGGGTGTGGTGACATCACCCAGCTATGTGGGAGGCTGTAGGTAGGTGACTCATGGTCCAGGCTGGCCCAGGGCAAAAGCTATGAGACTCTATCTAACAAATAATCAAAAGGGTTGGAGGTGCATGACTCAAATGACAGAGAGTACTTGCCTAGCAAGTGCAAGGCCCTGAGTTCAAACACTAGTACTGCCAAAAAAAAATGACTTTAACTTACAGGATTCCACCTTTTCTCTGAAATTCTATAGTACCTTGACTCTATCATTGCACACCCTTGAATGTCCTCATCTATCTCTGATTACTCCTTTCTCCTTTTGGGTCCTTCTTCCCTCCACCGGTTGCTTAAGTGCCCCCCTGGGATGGCTCCTTGACCACCTGCTCTCATTATACTGCTCCTCTGGGTCTTGGATTTAACTGTGCCCATATGCTGATGGCTTCCTAATTAATATCTCTAGCCCAACTTGCAGGTTTACATCTCCAACTGTCAGCTGGCCATCTCCTTGTGCTTCTTCCACTAGCACGCTGACCGAGTCCCACCAAAACTGAGCACATCTTCTTCCCCCAGGTCTCCTCCTGTCCTGATCCTTGGTCTCAGCTCCTGGTTCAACCATCTGCTGAGAACTATGAGCTTCAAACTGAGCATCGTCCTTTCATCCTCCTCTCTCCTAATCACATTCCATCAATCTCCGAGCCCTCCTGTCTATTCCCACTTGCTCTCGCATCTGAGTTCAGGCTTTGCCTGTCTCTATGCAGTAACTTTCAACTGGTTTCCTGACTCATGTCTTTTCTTCTTCAAATCTATTCTTCACAGGACCAAAAGTTATCTTGGAAAAAAAAAAATCACAGCGACCATGCTATTCCCCTGCTTCAAGTCTTTAAATGACTCTCCAAAGTCAAGTGCAATGTTTGACATGCATCTGAGGTTCCCACACTCTCTCGTCTGTCTGTATCTCCAGCTTTACTCCCACATTCCTTGTTCTGGGACCTACATAGACTATGCAGACTGTTAGAGCTGTGTGGACCATGCTGTTCTCACCGTGTGCTTGCTTGTTCTGTTCTCCCTATTTGAAATTCCCCATCTTCCACCTCTTCCCCAACCCCCCACTCCTACCAAATCTTCTCCAAACTTGGAGGACTCAGCTCCACTGACCCTTCCTCTAGGAAGCCAGCACTGGCTGGGAAAGTGTTTCCCCTCCCATATATGCCTCTGTTATTGTATGACCAGCCTTAAAAGAATGTTCTGTTGTCTAAAGTCTCTCCTTTTCATTAGAGCAGTGACTCTCAAATCTGGCTGAACTTAAAACTTACGTGGGACCCACCCCCAGAGGTTAAGATATAACTGGTTTGGAAGGAACTACTGGGATCTGTTTTAGGAAAGCTCTCCCAGGGACTGTAATTTCCATCCGAAGCTGAGAACCATAGCAAGAGACTATGGGCTCCCTGAGGACAAATCACATAATCTATATTAGTGTCATTGTGACTAGTATAAGGTAGGGAACATGATAAGAACAGCACTGGAACCTTACTAATGCTTAGTAATGGGTGAGTCAACCTGCTGGTCATGTGTGTAGTCCCTTTCCCCCTTGGTCAGTGGCCCCTAGAAGCAAATAGGTAGGTCAAATGCATCAGAATCAGTTGGAGAGCTTATTTAAAAAAATACCCACCTAGGCATGCACCTGTCATCCCAGTGACATGGGAAATATAAATACCAGTAGCTCAGGTCCAGACCATCCTGGACATAAAGCAAGATCCTATTCAAAAAATACCTAAAAGTACCAGTGGTAGAGTGCAGCCTAGCAAGTGCAAGGCTTTGAGTTCAAACCCAAAAAAAAAAAAAAGGAATCTGGACCCTTACCCTCAGAGATTAGGATCAGTACATCTATAGAGATGCTAGAACCTATAGAAAGCTCTCATGTGATGAATCAAGAGGACCATTTAATTCAGCTAACTCTGCTTATGTTAACTAACTCCCCTCAAGCATCATCTGCTGCAGGGAAGCCTTCTTTGACCACCGTCCTGGCTGCCCGACACCATAAGCTGGGTTATAGGACCCTCCTCTCTTCTCCCTTACCCTTTCTACTTCCTTTTGTGCCTCCCACTGTGTGCAGAGAGTCTGTTTGCCTATTTGTATCTCCTGGACTTTCTTTTGGGACATAGAGCATGACACATTCCTATTCGTACAACAGTGCTTAAGAAAACACCTGGCACATAATAAACAGGCACTTGGTAAGGACGAGCTGACAGAGAAAGAAGGGGAGGAAGTGTGGCGCTACCTGAGCTCCATGTCTTCCTCAGGAGGCTTCCCAGCTGCCCTTGAGGTGGTGCATCCTAGTGCCTTTTGCTCAGTCCCAGGCATGTCTGCTACCAATTTACTTCACCTTTCATCTCTAGCATCCCAGCTACAAATACAGAGCTGGACTCTTCACCCCTGCCTAGGTGGCTGCCTGGAGAATTAAATAAGTTAAAATATTTCAAGGCTTGGACCAGTTCTCAGCATCTAGAAAGCACTAGATAAGTAATAACTGTTATCATTGGTGCCCATGGCTGGTGTTCTGTGCACTCTCTTCCCAGCCTTTAACGCTGTTCCTGGACAGTCATCTTCTACCTGTTGCTATCAATGTCAAGCCCTTCCCTGGGCTGTGTGTGCAGCAGAGCTGGCCTTCTTATATGCTCCCCTACCATGCTCAATCCCAAGTTTGTAAGAGGACAGAGAAGCCTCCAGTACTTCATCCTGCTACTTTAATTGAAAATCAATTTGCTTGTCAATAAACAGAAAGTCAGCCTGCAGCAAAGCATCAATATTTTCTTAAGCAAGGTTCAGGAACTCTAAACCAGCTCCCTGCAAGACAGGCTGAGTGCCAGGGATGCTTACATAGTGTTTACGTGACTGTCTATAAGGAATTTTTGACTATGTGGCAGAAAGACTAGGCCGTTTTGGGAGTGGCTAACTTTATTAGTTTCCTAGGACTGACAAAACAGATTAGCACAAACTTGGTGGCTTAAAACAACAGAAATTTATTCTCTCCTAGTTCTAGAAGCCAGAAATCTAAAATCTAGGTACCCTAGGACCATGCTGCCTCCAATGGCTTTAGGGAATAATCCGTCTTTACCTCTTCCAGTTTCTGGTGGCTTTTGGCACGCCTTGGCTTGTGGGTGCATCACTCCAATCTCTGCTCTGTTTCCACATTGTCGTCGCCTTTGTGTGTCTCTGTGGGTCCAAATCTCCCTTTCCTTTCTCTTACAAAAATACCAGTCATTGAATTAGCAGCGCACCCAAAACCCAGGATGATTTCATCCTGAGATCCCAAATTAATTATATCTTTAAAGAACCTATAAAGTCACATTTAGAGTCCCAGGTAGATATGAATTTTTCAGCAGGAAAGAAAATAACTACACTAAGTATTTGGCAAAAAAAGTGGTTCATTGTTTTTAAATAACAAGGTTAGGGTAACCTTGTTGGAGAAGACCTGCATGTTTCTCAATTTATGCCCCCTACTCTGAGAAAAGGGGTTGACGCAATTGACAGTAAACACCCACTGTAGACATTCAGAACCATTAAAATAGAAAAGCCAAAGTCAATTTAAGAAACAGGAAGGGGAAGGAGGGGAAGGGACTTGATATACAAAATTAGAAGCTGAATAAGGGTCTGGTTCTGGAGCCTCCTACAGGTTAAAGTGGGTATAATCACCTGATGGATTATCTCACTCACCTTTAATGAGAACCTAAGGACAGAAACAAACCTTGCTCCAATCCTGAGTGGAAAAAAAAAAAGTTTCCCATGAGAATCCAGAATTTTCGGAAAACACAGAGGCCACCCTGAGACAGGTTCTACTAGAGGCTCTCCATAAAATGGACACACCGGTGTTAAATTGCAATCCTATAAAGTCTGACGATCTGGCAGTTTTATTTTTGGTGTCTTTGATAGCAATCCCCATCAATGCTGGCCTCATGTTTCAGAGTCCAAATGGATAGTTATGGGGCTAAGGTGTACGTGGGGGAATGAATGAGTTAACTTCCAACAGCGTCTCTTTATCAGAAAGTCTCTGTGTATCTTGGTTAGGGGTACTGGGTCATAGCCGGGTAGGGTTTAGGGAGAGGCTGTAACCCGGTGGTGGCAACATCTCTGCCCCTGTTTCTTGTGCAGGACTCAGGAATTGACATTGGGGACATCACTGCAAGGAAGGCTCTGAGGAAGCAGCTGCAGTGCAAGACCTTCCGGTGGTACCTTGTCAGCGTGTACCCAGAGATGAGGATGTACTCAGACATCATTGCCTATGGGGTGGTAAGAAACCAGCCTCTTCAGGGTTTCATTTAGACTCAGAAAGCAGGACCAGAAAGAGGTGCAGAGAAGAAAGGTGAAGGAGGGAACAAGCTTATGGCCACCCACAGGGAGACCTGCGGTAGAGCTAGAGACTCAGAGCTGGTTTCTGGACCTGCACGAGAGCCCTTGCTTTCACACCCCAAACCTCTGCAGTTACTGAAAGAAGTATTTTACTCTCCTTTATAGTCCTAAGCAACTCATCTATGGCCTAAGCCTGCATATGCCACTTAATAAAACACACAAAGAACTAGGAGGCTTAAGATTGTGACGTAACACAACCAACACCCACTGTTTATCCAAATGAGCTGACTGAGTTTCTAACAACCACCCTGTATGTCTCCCCTGTCCAGGGGATGGTGCCTGTCACTCACATGCAGGTCCTCCCTGGAAGGAGTTCTGAGAAATAGAATCTTCCTGAGTTCATTGCATTTTGATGGATGTTGTAGTTCTGCTTACTGATGAGAACAGAGTTCATCTTCCCTATGGGAGACAATAAGATAGAGGAGATGGAGAACAGGATTTGGAGTCACACAGATCTGCTTAAGATCTTGGCCACCTCCCAGGCAAACATCTTAAAGTCTGTGGGCCTCAGTTTCTTCATCTGTCAAATGGGACAAGTTAATACTGCCCTCACAAGATAGAATCTAGTCTGAGAAGTGAAATATATTTTCTGTCTAAGATTAAAATACTTTGGACATGATAAACAATTCCATTGTCCCAAATTTCTCAATACTCTTAAAGTATTTTAAATGGCACCTGATTGGTAGCTCACTGGCTTTTGCTGACTTATATAGTCTGAATACATACTTTTTTTTTCTATGACAGTTAAGCCCTCAAGACTACTCTGTGGGGTTACTTATAGTATCTTCATATTGCAGCTGAAGAAACAGGCAAAAATGCGACTTGTCTTCTTCACACAGATAATCAACAGTGAAACTGAATCCAAAACACCATCTGGTACTGTACTCAGGCCTTTTCTGATATCCCATAATGAGAACTTGAAGACAGAACTGAGGTCTCTTCTCTGATGCCTTATGGCCAGATCTGAGTTCAAGGCCTTGCCCAGCAGGGAATACAATGGACAGGGGTAGGAAGAGCCCTTGCTGAGGGACTGGACTGCTGTTCTCCATGAATCTCCCAAGTTTAACATCCTGGGATTCTAAAGGATACAGAGAGGGGACCTCAGAATCCTGCCAGGGGGTCTGTTGTCCAGGAGGCCAGCCTATGAGAGGCCCCACGCATGATTGGCACATTCCAAGAGAACTGCCCAGAGGCCTCTTTCCTCTCCATTTCTCAGTTTGAGGCCTTTGGAGGTCAGAAACTACCTCCACTGGTGATGCCCAGCTGTCACCTGAGGCTCCAGATCCTTCTGTCACCATAGAAACACACTGCACTGTAAGGTGCCCATAAATCCCTTCCACCTCACCAAGACCATCCAAAGACAGCTCTCCTGACGCCCTGCACTCTGCCCCGTGGCAAGCTGTGTGGGCCACTTGGCCACAGTTGGGCACAATCCTAAGAGGACAGTGATAAAATTGTGGCTCCAGAGAAACTTTTGGTTCCCAGTCTTTGAGAGCCAGGGCCAGCTTCTGGACTTAGTTCTCAGGCTGACAGCCATAGCTAAACAGGATGAGCCAAACTCACCCAGAGGGGCAGAGAAAGGTAAAAGTGGAGGTGTCTTCCTGTGTCCACTGCACTTCTTAGCCAAGGCATTCTCATTCTCCAAGCAAAAGTGTCTCCTGTTACGTTCAGATGTATCAGGTTTATCATCTATTCCCTTAACACCAGATCCAGGAATGTTTGGGTTAGCCAAACAGTAAGTGACAAGTACAAGGTTGCACTCTAGAGATCTTTGTGAGACCATAGCTCAGGCTGTTTTCACTCTGCCACACTGAAAGCCATTCAGTCATCATGCCAAAGGCCTGACCTGTGTTATCCATCCTGTGCTATTGGAGGTCTCTGACACCATGCATGTTCATCTGTCAGCCACTGTGCAGAGCCCAGTCAGCTTCTCTTCCTTCCCACCTCCGCAGTGTCAGTTTCTGGGCTCCTACATGAGCAGATACATGCTTGCCAGTCACAGAGCATGATGAACTTTTAATGGGGGCAGTTGGGTGAAGATGACCCAGCAAGATGTAGCCTCAGAAGTGAGACATTTGCTGGGTCTGAATTGTTCTTCCTGGTAATTAGCCTCATTCTAAAATGGAGAGACCAGATGTCTTTTCAGGAACAGAATTTCATTTTTTTTTTCTTTTTACATTCCAACCCATGCCCAAACTGTAGTGTTCAGGTCAAATAATTTCTGGATCTCTCAATTGGGCCAGTGTCCATTAGTCTACTAATAGGTTCCATTATGACTCCTGCAGGCAAAAGGACCTGTGGGCCCCATTGTGTGAGAGGGGGTTTCCCCTAGATTACTAATTGCTATGTCTGAGAGATGAGGAAACTTTGGATGAAACCCAGCTCTAGTGCTCAGAGTAGGGATGGAGAAACATCTGGAAACAGACATGGCTGACTTCTGAGTGTTTGCTTTGGACTTACTTTCTGTGTAACCTTGACCATGAGCACAACCTCAGTGGTTATGGCAATCTATTTCACATGACATCCTTCAGAGTTTCAGGATCATAGTCATAGTCATAGTCGTTGTAAAGAACTTGGGTTTCAGAATCAGACAGACTCCAGCTCTGCCACTTGTCTAACTACAATTTATTTTCTGCACACACTCATTCAACAAGTCTTGACTGATTGCTATGTGACCTGGCCCATCCAATATACAATGATAAAGACTGGGCCTCCATCTGGTGACCAACTGGGGGGATGGGCCCCTTTTGAAAAAGCAGCAACAAAGCAATATGCCAAGTGCTATAGGAAGAGAAATGAGGGTGCTGGTGAAGCACAGAGCAGTGGTCTCACCTCTAAACCTAGGCCAGAGGGGCTTACAAAGTAGTAGATAAATTGAACTCAAAAGAAGAAGGTGTGGCCAGGCAAAAAGACTGAAGTAGAGGGTGAGAGGGGAAATACTCACACAGAGGGAATGATCACAGACAGGGAATTGAGGGAGAGCCTGCTAGGACACCATAGTGGCCCCACCCTTAAAAGAGATAAGATTACCAATCTGGCTGGATTATTTTGAGAATTAGATATGATTCACATGGAGAGCACTTTACATGGTATCTGCACATTGATGCATTCATTAAAGCTAATCCTGATTGGCTTTCAGGAAGGTTGTAGCAGCAATAATAACAGCTAACAATTCTTGTATATTTACTATTTTCCTGTCCCTATGCTAAGCCCTTGTAGATATAATGTCACTTAATCCTCATAACAGCCCTATGATTAGGCACTATTATTGTCCCTCTCTCAGAGGAAAGAAAACAGACAGGAGGGTATTATGTTGCTTTGTCCCTGACCACACAGCTGTAGCCAGGACTGCATCCCAGCCAGTCTTTCTCCACTGCTTCGGTAAACTACTTGCTTAATGGAGGAGGGATGACAGCATCAGGGAGGACTTTATCAAAAGACACCTACCCATTCACCCAGAGGGCAGCTTTAAGAACCCAGGGAAAAGCAAAGTCTATCCTCAGGGTTGCCTGGCTTCCTCTTTGCCATAGCAGTTGGCAGGTCTTGCTAATGGGTCACAGTGTATGGTTTCAGCTCTGACACTGCCTCTCCATGGTCTGTAAGACAAATTCAAAGTAATTTTACATATTCTCCTCCCACAAAGTCAAGCCTAAGAGTATGTGCATATAAGAGGATTGCTGCCTGAATGCTTCTGCAGTTCCTGCCTGGGGAGTAGACACATGTTCATATGTGTTTTTTCAGAACCTCCAAATTGTAAATGTGAGATTAAGCTGCTGTAACCAGCAGAGGAAATGAAGCAAAAGAGAAAAGAATCTGACTTTGTTTCTTGTGCCCTGTGAAGAACAGTGTAGAGCACACATGTGCCTGTGGTTTTCTGTTCAGTATCATATACTTCAATTGGGTTTGTCCCACTCCTGCCACAAGATAACAGAACTACACAGCCTTGGCCTTCTCTGAGAAACATGACCTACCTAGGGTCCATTGGCTTGGTCTTCCTGGATTCTGATGTCCTGCCCCCTGTTTGCTAAGAAAAGAAACCAGGTTAAGCTAGCTCAAGGTAAGGTGTGGGTGGGTGAAGGTACCACTGAAGAGTGGCTGTGCATAGGCACAGGAGCTGCAAAGTGACTAAAGTTACAGCAGGCACAAGGTAGGCGCTCTCGCATCTAATTCCCTCTGCTTTGTACATTATCTCATCCTTGGTCACAGCTGGCTTTCTCCGCTTGCACATGGTGTAACAGATCACACACACACACACACACACACACACGCGCGCGCACACACTTAATCTCAGTGGACCCACAATTCTAGTTGTCATCACCCACTGACCACAGTTCTGGGTCTCATTTAGATCTCTACCCAGGATAAGAGAAAGATGAGCAGGTCAAATTCCAGAAAGACTGGGAGGAGAGAGAGAAGCAGAATGACTCATTCATTTTAAACTGGGGGTAGGTGCCCATTGGTCTGCTCAGCTGTGGCTGCTGAACAGAGCTATGTGGACTATAGGTTACTGTTTCCAAGGACTCAGAGTGTCTTAGGCCACAAGGAGACTCTAAATATTGGTTCTGTTATCCAGTTATGTCCTGTTGATTGCCAAGACTGTGGGTCTATGAGCCTGTGGGTAAGGGTAAAAGATACACCTATCTTTTCCTGCTTCTACCCTGGCCCCTCCCCTCTCATTCTCCCATTGCAGCTTCCATTCTGGATGGCCCTCAGAAGTTAGGGTATGAACAGTTAGGTCTGTCCATGCCCCTGCTGAATCTGGAAGAAACCGAGAAAGTCTGGTTCCAGAGGACCTCCCAGGCCTGAAATCAAGTAACATGATGTCCTCTTCCCCTAACTCTTAAGACTTCTTGGAGACCATTGTGCCACCTCTAGAGAAGTGGAGGAGGCCAAGACTCTAGTGCCATCTTGTGTGTGCACATGTATGTGTTCTCTTGTTTTTACTCGTAGGATCTCAGCTACCCAAAGCCAGTTGGGATAAGGAGACATGAGTGTTTCTCCTTGAATGGAGGCCAGTCTCCATATTGTACCTTTACATAAGGGAAAAGCTGGGGCCTGCTGATTCCAGTGTTCAAGAGGGCTTGGGTTGATTAAGAAGAGTCTGTCTTAGGGTAGTCCTGCTTCTCCTGCATTAACACATTTGTTTCCTCATTTCTTTTCCCTATGCTGTGACTGTCTCTCCTCTGATGCTCAGCTGCAGAATTCCCTGAAGACTGATTTATGTCTTGATCAGGGGCCAGATACAGAGAATGTTCCCATCATGTACATCTGTCATGGGATGACACCCCAGGTGAGTCCTTAAAGAGAACCTGTGCTGGGGTGTGCGCGTGAGTGTCTGATGTGAGGGAAAACAGCTCAATTCCATTGTGACTGCTCCTGGACCAGCAGCCTCTAGTTTTCATCAGGAATTATCCCCACAATCCTAAGAGGAGAGTTGTGCCTGCCTTACCTGGAAGAGGGCTGGAAAAGCAGATGCTGTGGGACCAGAATCCTCTGGGGTGGACAGGAGGAAGAGAATGTATTTTTTAAAAACACCTGCCTCCTTTGGAGGTACTGTAAGTAAATCACAATCCTGGTTCTAGCAGCCAAGCCCTGCCCTAGCAGGAGGGAGCCCAATAACTTCCCCATGTTCCCTGATCTGTCTATAACTCTGCAGAGTGCCATGTTATGGTCTTCAGGCTCTGCCTAAAGTAGGTCAAAGCTGGGGCTAAAATGAACAGCCACGAGACTCTTTAACAGCTCTTACAACATGTTCCTGGTAGAGAATGAAGGGCAGCTACCAGGAAAGTAAGTTATCCTTAAAATTTCCCCAGTCATAGTCTAGGCTTCAGATATGCAAAGAGGATGCAAGACATAAGAAGAGTTTACTCCACAAAGGACAATAGACCACCATTGTCTAATAATGCCAAAAAGTGACCCATTCTGAATTGATAACATTCATAGTGCTTTTTTTTTAACTCGAAGAGAACAATGATTTAAAAATGATATTGTTATACATATGTATATTTGTATAATTGCAATTCTGTGTTTAAAAGAGTTGTTACCTACCTAAGTACACAACTGAAGATTATCATGACATGTGTGTGACCCTGTGTACGAATGATGAAACTTCCTGGTGATTATTCATTGTGATTCTACCACCTTGTCTTTTTTACTGTGACATCACCAGCTGATTAATCACAGGTTAGCAGATCACATTATCCCCACATCACCTAACATAGCAACTCATTCTTCATTATTATAAAGTAGTGTGATACTTTTGGTGGATGACTATCTTTATATAAGCTTTTTTAACTGAATTATAACATCTCTAGAGAAAATAGATGAACTGTATAGCATAATGACTTTCTATGGAATGAACACACTCATGTAACCAGCATCAAAATTTAAAAAAATAAAAAGTATTACTCTTGATTTTGGATCATATGGTATATATTTTCTTGTGTTAGCCTCTATATTTGTAAAATACATCCATGCTGGTACATGTAGTTGTAACTTGCTCATTTGTATTATTATACACTATTCCATGCTATAAATATGCCATGGTTTACTGTTTATTCTACTGTTGATGAATATGGGCTATTGCCAGTTGGATCTACTATGAATCTTGCTGCAATGAATATCTTTGCTTTTGTCTCTTGTTGCACATATATATATTCATTTCTTTTGGATTTATACTTAGGAGTAGAACTGTTGAGTCATGGGTTGGTGTATGTTTACTTTCAGTAGACATTGCCTGTTTTAGTCTGCTCAGGCTGCCAAAACAAAATACCACAGGCTGGTTGGTTTAAACAACAGAAATTTATTTTTCACAGTTCTGGAGGCTGTGAGGTTCAGATCAAGATGCCAACCAATTTGTCTTCTGGTAGAGGCCCTCTTCCTGGCTTGCAGATTGTCTTCTTCCCTCTGAGCTCACATGGCAGGGAGAGGGACAGAATGGACTCAATGGTGTCTAGTCTTATAAGAACACTAATCCTGTGCAATAAGGGCTCCACCCTTATGGCCTCATTTAACCTTAACCTGAATAATTGAAGAAGTTTCAGCCTATCAACATCACAAAAAAGAAGAAGAAGGAGGAGGAGGAGAAGGAGGAGGAGGAGGAAAAGGAGGAGGAGGAGGAGGACGAGGCTTGTTCTAAAGAGTGTGGCTCATGACAAAGGTATCAGGAGTGTGATTCATGGACTTTACCAAAGTCAGGAAGAGAAATGGAAGTGATATTGCTGGGTGATCTTAGAAGACCCTGGTTGAGAAGATCTCAAGTCCTTTTGTCTCTTGAACAAAGAATTGGACAAAACCACAGGTTGAAAGCAGTAGTTAAGTTTTATCGAAAGGAAGGAAAGTATAGGAAACACCACAACACAGTGGTGGGCTCTGGCCAGATGGCATAGAAGCTCTAATTTTTGTTCAAAGGGCAATTTTTAGGTTGTAAGGGCAAACTGCAAGAAAAATCTGGGCAGTCCTTTGCAGGCAGGTCTAGGGTGATTGACAGGTTTAATTGACAGGGAGATGTTACATAATTTATTTTTGACTACACATGTCCCTATCCATAATCCATAACGCATTCTGTTATAATTGCATGCATGATATGCAGTTCACATGTATGAGTCTTTAAGTGTGGCTGTATCTCAAAAGGACATTTTAGGATAGGTTCCCCAGCCCTCAGTACATGCACCAGCTGTGGGACTTTCCCTTCTGCACAAACATCCTCTTTTATCATGATGTAGTGGCTATTGAGTTAACCACTAAAGGGGTCGCAAGGACATTCCCAGATGTCTCCCAAAGGGGGCGTGTCCTAGTCAGGACTCTTTTTTTTTGGTGGTACTGGGATTTGAACTCAGGGCCTCACACTTGCTAGGCAGGTGCTCTACCACTTGAGCCACTCTGCTAGCCTTTTTTTGTATTGGTTGTTTTCGAGATAGGGTCTCACAAACTATTTGCCCTGGCTGGTCATGAACAGTGATTCTTCTGATCTCTTCCTCCCAAGTAGCTAGAATTATAGGCATAAGCCACTAGTGCCCAGCTCTAGGCAGGACTTTTATGACATTTTATTTGGTCAGTGTCCACTCCCTCTTGACCAAACTGTACTCTATTCTCCTGCCTCAGGAGGATACTAGGAGAGATAGAGAGGGTAGGAGGGAATGAAAGAAGACTGCTGTACTCTCAGATTCTGTAATGCTGGGCTATACAATGATTTGGCTGTGAACTGCACTATTAAAGAAAGAAAAGGAAGGATAATGCTAAAGGTGACACAGAGATCATCAGGGCAGTCACTCCTACCACAGCATCCCCAGTAGGGATGGCACTCCCTCCCACCAAAGAGGCATGGTCCCCTGCCCTCTCTCCCCAACCACGAGCCATAAAGATGCTGCTGCTACCCCAGTGGATCTGGAGGGCAGAACATGAAGCCCAAGAGTATTTCCCTAAAGTCTTAAGATTTAACTTACCTTCCTGGGTTTTAGATTTGCTTAGGAGTCATCATCCCTTCCTTTGTTCTGATATCTTGATTTTGGAATGGAACTATCTATCCTATGCCTATCTCATCATTGTAACTTGTCTGTCTTCCTGGGCTCACAACCGGAAAGGAATTTTGCCTTGGGATGAAATGTATCTTTTAAACTTTCCCATACCTGATTTAGAAGATATTTATATGAGACTTTGAACTTCAGACTTTAGACTTGATTCTGGAATGAGTTAAAACCTTTGGGACTATTAAGAAAGAATGGATGTATCTTATATGCTTTATGACATGAATTTTGGCACAGTAGGGCAGAATGCTATGGTATACATTGTATTCTCTCCCAAATTCATTGAAATTCTAACCCTGGCAATATTTGGAGTAAGGAGGTAATAAAAGTTAAGTGAAATCATAAAGGTGGAACCCTGATCTGATGGGATTAGTGTTCTCATAAGAAAAGACACCAAAGAGCTCCCTTGCTAGCTCTCTGTCTGCCATGTTAAAGAGTCAATAATGGGGCAGCTGTCTGGAAACCAGAAAGAGAGCTCATATAAAAAACCAAATTGGTGGGCACCTTTGTGGGGAGTGGATTATGAGAAGCCTATGAGAACTTCTGGAAATTAGCACAGCTGTACCCAATGTTCTGTAGGCTGAGCCTACAGTCCCAGCCACAGAAGAGGAAAATGCAAAACAGCTGCTTTTCCTAAATTGTTTATGTTCAGCAAGGTAGATCAGAGGTTTTATTGTTACAATGTCAAGCCCCTCCCAGAGAGCTGTTGCTCCTCCTCCTTGTTTAACCCTGGGTATAAAAGACTCTCTGAAGGATGACTGAAGGCCTTTGGCTTTTGGATGTGGGAGACTTCTGAAAGGGAGGATTGCTGGAGGGAGATTGCTGAAGAGGGAAAGGATTGCTGAAGGGAAAAGGATTTTTGAAGGGAAAAGAATTGCTGAAGGAGAATTGCTAAAGGGGAATTGCTAGCAAGTCTGAGTGCCAAGATTTTAAGAAAGCTAAAGAGAGAACATGGAGCAGTGCAAGTTTTGGGGTAAAGACTTTAAGAGAGATTATGCTAAAGAAAAGCTAAGAAAAAACATGGGACAGTGCGAGTCTAAGGAAAGAGACTTTAAAGAACAGAAAAGAAGACTTTAAAAGTAAGGTTTTAAGGAAAGACTTTAGAAGCAAGGTTTTAAAGAACTGTAAAGGAGTAAGGCCTTAAAGAGTAAAAATAGAAAAAAGAAGCAGAGTAAATAAAGAGAATAATAGAGAAAAGAAGCAATGAGGCACTTGTGCATCTCCATCTGAGCACCCAACACCCCTGGCCCCAACTTTCTGTCTGTCTGTCTATCCTGTGTCCTTTCTGCATCTCCCGTTGCCACCCAATTAGGCCCAGTTAGGTTTGGTAATAACCAGGAGTGAGAAAAAGCTTGCTCTGCATCTTGATCTTGGACTTCTCAGCCTCCATAACTGTGAGAAAATTAATTTCTGTTATTCAAGCCACTCAAGCCTATGATATTTTGTTATGGTGGCCCAACTCAATGAATACTCTGCCAAAATGTTTTCAAAAGTTGTCCAACTTTTACTCACACGAACTGTTCATTAGAGTTCTAGTTCCTCCACACCCCTGGTCAATTCTTGGTATTATCTGTACTTTTAATACAGCATTGTGGTGGGAGTATAGTGGTATCACATTGTGGTTTTAATTTGTATTCTTTATTAATGACATTGGAGACCTGGGTTTTCAGCTCATAACATCTTCCTGTGGTTCTAGTGTGGGCCAAAGTGGCCAGGTCATGGGTAGTTTGGGACTTTTAAATTCCCTCTCTATTTTCTGGTCCTT